TCGGCCGCAAATACTGCACTTACGCGCAACAAAGGATGGTCCTCGTCTTGTCGGAAAAGACCGTCGTGTACACTCTGACTCAAGAGCGTTTGTCATTCTCTAATATTAAATAGTATTTTATATTTTGAGAGAGTGTATATGCACATATACGAGTACACAGAGTCTATGTGTGTGTGCTGAACAGTTTGAAAAAAAAGAAAAAATATATCTTTCCTTTTAAGAAAGCAAATATTGTGATAGACGCTTCATGGTATAAGATAAATAATGTGTTTGCAAATTATGTATACTAAATTATGTATACTAAATTAAACAATTATGTATAATAAAATTAATGTTGCACAATATCTTTGTGCTTCACAAAAACAATTAGGTTGTGTAAAAAAACCAAAATATAAGTAGAAAACCGGATATTTATTTTGCACGAGAGCCTTTACTTTTTCAATTCACTGTACCCGTGACTGGATCGCGTGTAATTTTGTCCTCTTTTATCTCGATTTCGGTCGAGGTTTTCGAAGAGAGAGATTTCGGGCATCCTCATATCGACCGATATGGCGGGAAAGTCGGCGCGCGATGCTAACATTCATTCATGCTTCCGCGTCACACAAAGACGACACGTCGTTCGAGCGATTAACACGTAACGGGCGTGCTATTTTTTGTTCTCCTCGTCGTGAAAGAACATCGCGACGTTTCAAAGAAATAGGCGTTTCCCAAAATTTCCCGCGGCTTTGTTTGACGTCCATTACTTGCCGTTACTTCGTCGTTTCTCTTCGTCCGGCGAACGCCTTCTTCCTTCCGAACTTTGTTTGCTGCAGTTATCACTTTGATATCAATGTGACGGATGACACACGTTCTACAAACGTTTATCGTGGAATTTTGTAATATTAGAATGAATCATGCGAAAGAGAACATTCTCTGAAATGATCGCTATTTTTTTCCTACTGTCTGTAGATATATCAAATCTGTCAATGTAAATATTTGCTTATTTAACTTGCATTGTGTTTTTTTGTTTCCTACTAAATCAAAACAGTTTTATTTTTGCTTTCACAATTTAAAAGTTTTTTGCCAACAGATATATTAAAATTAACTTTGCAAACAGACTAAGTAAAAAATGACTTACGAGTCAGACCAGATCTATGAGACCCACGCAACTTTAAAATCGTGTATCTTCTCAAAAAATCAATATTTTCCAATTGTGATTTTTTTTTTTTAATTGAAAGAACGATTCTGCGTCGATAAAAAAAAAAACAAATTGAGAAAATCTCTAGTTTCGAAAATATAAGCGTTTAAAAAAAAACTAATTTTTACTAAAGACGCCGATGCGCAATTTGAGTAAGTTTGGTAAATGTCTGTCGCGAAAGATTAATTTGAAATTTATTCTAATATATTATTATATGTATTTTTTATTTTTAATAATAATAATGGGCTTTATATAGAATTGACATATGCTATGTGTATATATAATATTCTCTTGTACTTTATAACATGAACGATGGCGCCTGAAGAAGAAGCAGTGAATAAAGTGAGGAAAATATGAAAAGCGCTAAAGCGGCGAGACAAGGTGAAGGAAGTAGGCGTTCGCATTGTTCGCACAGCTGTTTACCCAGTTTTCCAACAGTCGTATATTACGATGCTAATTTCGTTCATTGTGATGACACGCATGTGGATTCACTGCACGCCGCGGTAGGTTGAAACGTAGATATGTATAGAGAGAACGTAACAAATAAGAAGAATATGCTTTGATCGTGATCTATGCGACGATTCACGTCGCAAATGAGCCAGCTTCGCATTTGCGGGATGTTTCGCGTTCTTTTTAGAACAATCGCGTATATATCGGTCACCAATTAACGATCTCATCTCCGCGCAGTGTGTCTATCTTATGTAGTGATTAAACAATATTGCTAAGTATGTATAAAATTTTATTTACTCCGGATATTTTAATTGTCGAATAGAAAATATCTAAATATATAGTGAAAATTCAACATCTCGTAAATTCCTAAAGCACAAGTTTCAGAGGCTATTACAATAAAAGATTCATTCATTTATTATTAACGATAATTTTTTATAAAATAACTTTCTATTTCTATAAAATATCTACTTTCTATGTTTACTTGTCGCTACGAATACAATATTTCATATATTTTTCTTTTATATCAAAAGTACATAATGTTGAAAAGAAAGTGTTTTAATCGCTGGTATTCGCTACAACAATCGGTCTTATTGAATTGACGCATCGCATAGAAAGAGAGCGCGATCTACACTTAAAAAATTTCCCTATTTTCAGCAATGTGTTTCTGCGTCATAGTAAATTATAATCAAGAATTATCCGTCCGGCTATTCCATATAACGAGACGAAGGCGATGATAACGCGACAGTTAATGAAAGCTCTTGCGCACGGTTGCGACTCGGACGGCCAATCGTGATTAACCATGTTCGTTCGAAAACCTGTCTGTAAGCTAATCGCGAACGTTATCTCCGCAACGTTATCTTTGCAAGGTGTGCAATATATTAATCGCTCCACTTGTGATACGTCGGGGAACTGTACTGCGCGTATCACGCGAAAATGTCGTTGCATAACATATACATACGCGGTACTTTAAACAAAAGAACTTTAAGCAAAAAAAGAAACACTTCAAGTAACAATCCGCAAGTTTTTAGCAAACGTTAGCTATCTAACTTTTTTTTTATGTAGAAAAAAGACATTCAAGTTAAATATGGAGACATGGAACTTTTCAAAGTTTAATTTAAAACGAGCGGAGAAAGATTGTGTGAATATTAAATATACTGCGTCTTGTTAATTGCCGGTCATTCAGCTGATTATTAAAATAATTAGACCACTTTTCAAAAGTCATTATGTTCCGTCGTAAAATTACGTCCACAGATACGGCAATATCTATGACAATTATAGACTTTTTTCTTGCCTTATCGCCAAGGTTAAGTGAAGTACGCTTTGCGACGCGTTTTGTTCCCGCGATTGTTATTAATCGTTTTGCCAATATGATGTGTAATATTACAACAGCAATACTACACATGAATTACATTATCCAACTTGTCTTCTGTCGTGATATATAATCGAAACATACTCATAACCCAAGTTAAGTATCGCGATATTATTGTTGCTGTATTTAAAGCTTATATTCCATATATAATACACAGCTTAAACTGAAAAATATTCAATATCTATCTTTCCAAGTATCAGAAATGACTTGTACGATTGTTTAATCGGATTGTTTCGTCTGCTCGATCACGTTCCAGTAACAATAGAACAAATAATTTTACATATCTTGTAATATTATTTAATCGTTACATGGGATGACAGACACCGCGTGAAGATGAGACGTTAAAATCGTTAATTGGTGACCGATACGCGAGACTTATTGTTAGTCTTGACCTAGATCTAATGGATTCGAGTCGACACATAGTTATTACAAGACGTGACGGCAGCTTTGCAATATATTTCATTCCAAGGCTATATCGCGCAGGAGAGCACAAGTTTTCTCCCTCTCCTCGTACTCTCATCTAGGATGCAACAGATTCGAGCTACGCCACGATGTTCGCCTCTCTCCTAGAAGAGTAACCAATAAAGAGCGATCTCTTCTACAGCGCCGACGCACTTGGTTACTCTCCTACTCTTATGAGGTAGACTGCCGAATCACATCTAACAGTGGATATCTCGTGCGCGCGCACCGCCACGCCGAAGGATGCCTATTGGCGTGGTGAAGTCGCATCTGCAGTCGGGCGTCCAGTTAAGATGGACGTCATGCAATGCTATGTAGATCATATGAATTCTATGTAGATTAATATGAAATGACTACTGTGTGTCTACTTTTTCACGAGACAAGGTGCGATAGATACGCGCGTAAATAAATTTGATCGCAAGTCGCTCACTCGCGACACGGAGATTTTAACAAAATCACGTTCCGATATTTAAAGAATTGGAATGTGAGTAAATCAATGCGAAAAAACACACAGTTAAAAGATAGCGCACTCTGAAAATGTTGAGATTCAGCAGAAATACTCAATTTTGGATAACTTGAATAAATTATAACTATCAAACAGCTGAATTTTTTAATCATCTAGTTGAACTGTTTTGGATTTGATTCGTGTCGTATATTATGTACATCAATTAGATTTGATTGCATTAGACAAATTCCACATTGTTACACGTGACAACGTATTCATACGTTGTAAAAAATTAATTACAGTTAAGTAGAAAGATTATCGCAATTGCGGCGAATATATTTAAGATACAAAAGTCTCAACTGTACAAGTCGAGCCTGAATTTGTAACGTCTTACTGCCGCAAGCCGCACACGCGATTGAGAATTTTAATTGCAAAACAAGCAAGTGCAATTTGAATTGAACAACACAGTCAGCACCGCGATATTCAATCATTCCTGCTGTGTGCAGGATGTCGCTAATTATCTATCCAACGATCTACGGCACGTGTCGTATGAAATAACAGTCGCGTCATCCTACCACGTTCGCGCGCAACACATACACGCATCTTCACCGCATTAATCTCTCTCTCTTTCTCTCCGCGACACAATTAATTCGAAACTTCGGTCTTTCGACAATGATACAATACGAAATAAGTATCTGTAGTCAATGTCTCTTCCTATTCCACGAAACCAAACCCAGAAAACATCTCTGTCTCGAAGCGGAGCGGAGGGGTTTTGCATTGTTTCTCTATATCATACGAGCATACAAGTGCTTAGATAGACGCTTACGTGTTTGAATAACGTACGGGCTACATCATATACGACGATTTTCACGTGCGAGGGAAGACTTCTCGCTCTCCCACCACGGATGTCCGCGATGCGGCATATAGTCGGCGCGCGCCAGCGCCGGTAGGCGTGGCTTCCAGGTAGCACACGAGGCTAGTGTGCAGGTGAGAGAAGAGTGAAACCCGACGAGGAGAAGCGGAGACCAGGTAAGGGGAAGCTCGCAGGGCCAAGCAACACACGCGAGAGACGTGCGTGCCCTCCTCGGCCACACCACGGGGTCAGTCGGGGTCCTGCTCTTAGACAGGACACTCCGAGCCTCTTTAACACGAGCTGACGTTCAAACAGCTGCCTGTAAATCGGAGTACTCTATATCCTGGTCAATCAGGCTATCACGGACCAGCTCTTCGTACGTATCCCGGCCTCTTCGTCATCAAAGATAAAGAAACGAGTTTTCGATCGTCGCGATTCCGCGAACATCTCGCATTTGTAAATTCTTCGGAGGTTCGGATTTGGAACAAATTTCGGAAAAGAAAATAAAGAGATCGGATTCGAGAAATCGAATTTCAATCGATTCTCTTCATCGATCTCTTGGTGAAACGACGTAAACTTCTGAAAGAAGATTCGATTGTCCGATCGCGAGACCAGTTTCGTCCTCGAGAACACTTTCAAGCTTGCCGTTCGTTTCACACAGAAACAAACTCGTGCGCGCGTTTTCACGACAGTGCAAGAGAACAAACGTGTGCCGAGAGTTTGACGTTTCCTGCAGAGATTTGTGTGATTCGCACTGTAAACAATCTGTCAGCGTAAAGTGCGCCAGCGTAACTGGCCAGTGTGCGGCTTCATGAACGACGTAAAATTTTAACGCACTTTTTTTCGTCACACGACATCTCGAACGTGATGTGCGGTGAGTATGAAATTTATATACACCGTATATTCCCTCAGAATATGCACTGAGAGCAAAAAATAGTTGCAGCTACCACAATTTTACTATAATTTATAGTGATTTAAGGTGCCAACTATTTTTTATAGTTATTTTAACAATGCGACTTATAGTTGATTCAATAATATATTATTGTTGCCATAGCTTTAACATGCATTCATATGCATGGTTTCATACACTATAACTTGTGATTTATGTATAGTAAGTTGTACTGTAAATGTGATAATAAGGACCATAATTGAAAGATAAAAACACTATATGCCATAATAAGAAGTCGTACTTATATAATAGTAAGATTAAACTTTTTATATATAATTTGATCTATAATGCATATGGTTCCAATAGTTTTAGTGATAAAACTGATAGTTTTAGTTTTAATGATTTTTATTGTTTTTAGGAAAATAGTAAATTGCTATTTATAAATGTGGTTACTAAAAATATACTATTGCTATGATTCTATGCATTGTATGTAAATAATTACTTTTCTGGCCACTTTTTTTATAGTTTATACGATATCTTTAGTACATTCCTAGTTAAAAATATAGTTAACCAGACTATTAATGTAGTCATAAAAATGTATTTCTTAAGTTACTTTCCTTACTTATTTTTTAGTTATTATTACCAGTAAATAGTAAAGCTGATGTCAACAGTATAGTCACATTTACTATAATTGTGATTGTAATTATTACTTAAAAATGTGTATTTTATTTACCATCTGTTATTTGACATTTGACTATGTTACTATTTAAAATTATTATAATTTATAGCAAAATTTTTACATACTTGTCAAAACCATGTATATAAGTTTAGTTTTACTAATATTATAGCAATACTAACGATAAAAATAAGAATTCCAACTATAATTATTTTACTATGCAATTATAGTCGTAAATACCAAGCATTTTTCTCTCAGTGTGTTATCTGAGATGTGTAGGTAACGAAATCTGTCGAACAACGCGATACAACACGTGATATTCGCGACACGTGGAAAAACCTGCCAAAAGCTTAATTCAAATGAATAATACTTTTAAATTAAAAACAAAAGTACATTGAAAATAGAGAATTTCTTAGAGTCACAGTTGTATAAATCACGACCGACTCTAATAATATTTAAACGTTGCTCCATCAATATTTAAATTTTGTATATCGCGATAATACAATACGTGCTCTATTAATCAGTGATGCTTTTTTATTATTATAATTGAAAAATAAATCAGAGAAGAGATAAATCGAAGTGACAAGAATTTGAGTTTCATCATTTGATTATACACGGCAGCACAAAGTTTTAACGTTTTGTAAATTTCCACAACGTCATTTTTTTAGTTTTGATACTAATGATTTTCAAGTAAAGTTTAAACAACATGTATTTGTGTAACTAAATAAAAGATTTTTGCGCTACATGTACGCATTACTCGTACAAAACGAAAAGACTATTGCACGGTAGTAGTTGCATATTACGATAATTTGTATTTTAAGCATATAATTAAATGGAAATTGATGGTAAAAACACACGTGTAAATTTTTCAAATACATCAGCGAACTTTGTCCTGTTGCATAAAATACGGCGATTAACATATAGATGCAACTATTTCATAAACAAATATACAAAACATTATCATAATTACTTTGCTTCTGCAAGAAACGCAACAAATATTTTACAGTAATATGTGATGGCAAAATAAAAGGAAAAACAAAAGATAAGATTTTGTAAGTTGCATTGAATATATATATATATATATATATATATATATATATATATACATATATATAATTGTTATATAATAATTAATACATAATTGTTATGTGCTTGTTCAAATCATAACATATTTTTTACATATATTTTATTTAAAAAACAAATAGAACTATATACTACGCATAACAAATCACACAAATCTCCTTTTTGATCTAAATGTTTAATAAATTGGTTAAAAGCTATTTTTATACATAAATAAAATAAAGTAATAAATTAATAAATTATAAAAAAAAAAAAATGTTTAATGCTGCATGTATTACAAAGACAACAAAAATTATGTATTTAAAAAAATCCGTGAATTTGTCAATCTTTAAATTAAATTAAAACTCTCTTACTTGTTTTCTCTTCATTCGAAGATGCAGCAACAGCTTACAACTTGTATTAGCCGATAAATCCGTCTTAAAGAGACTGAAAAGAAGAACATCTGACACTTGTTCACACAGCTCTTAATCAAGGCTTCGCGTAAATATTCATGATTGTTTTATGAGATTTTATATGAGTTGTTATGATGACAGTCACTTTCGTAATTAACAAGCAAACAGGTTTGGCTGAGAGAGAGGCCTCGTTTGTCATCAATTAATCGATTCGTTGATTAGCGTATGTCGTCTCATTGTTCGTTATCACTTGGATTTTATTCAACGACAAGCTGTACATAATAATAATATATTGCATATACAAATAGATATACAAATTAAAAGAGAATTTCCCAAGATAAAATCAAATAATTTCATTAAAAATATCATAAAAACGATTTTTTTGTTATCGCTTATAGAACATAGGAGAAATACCACGAATTTTTCCATTTGACAAAATCTTCTCCGTGTTTATATAACAAGACAAATTGTGTGAGTTAGAAATGTGTATATGTGTGTGCGCGCGTGCGTGTGTGATTAATCGATAATTAAAAGAATTTCTTTGCCTTATCATCAAATTCAGCGATAATAAAATGCCGCGATTCATTGACTCGGAATTTTTAATTATTTGCTTGGATGCAAAAAAAAGTGTCAACTCTCAAGTATAAAATTAAGAAATGTATGACGTAGTTAATATATCGAATCTGTTAAAGATATTTTCACAAGTGTACGAGCATTGAATCAATCAATCTTTGTCATTAATCGAAGATTTCTGTTATTGCACCGCACATGTCTGTGCAGTTTGTTTCGTCATTTCTTTTAAATTTCTTTCATATTGAAGGTTGTTGTAAAAACACTGTTAATTCACTATTAAAAATATATGTACATAAAGACACGTGTAAATTCAGCGATGATTGAATATTAGCACTTGAAGATATTTGTGGTTGAACACACACATTTCAGGATATTAACTTTGTCTTTTTGTTTGTTTATTTTATGTATTATAATCTTAAATAATCGAAATTCCGAGATCATTATGAAATCAATCGATAATAACTTATTGCAATAATAAACCATGCACTAAAAAAATAGTCGCCATAATTTTGCACCATATATTTTGTTGTTGTTGATCAAAATTGTTTTGTAACGGTTATTTTTTTTTAAGTATCTGTTTGACATTAGTTTTACATTTTATCAGAAGTACCGTTTGCTGATACATGTATCGTATACATAAAAGAAGCACAGCAGAAAATCGGTTCGCAACACATTTATAATTTATTCTCGCATGTGCAACAAAGGCGGGACATAGTGTTTCCCTTTATAACATGATGCATATGAACAATAAATAACAAAGTGGCGCGATATATCATCAAATTGATTTTATACTCTTCATCAGAATATCTAATTAAAAACTCTGTGATATTTTCACATAAAATATTTTTTTGACACAAGTTCTCTATTCAAGATTTTTTAATTACTTTTTCCTCTTTTGTTTTTATTTTTTTATTTTAATAAACGAGATCTTTTCTCTCAGGAACTTTTCTATGCATTATATCTCGTATTATCTCGAGCCATTTTTAATATTTTTGTGTTTGTTTTGCTCTAGTTTGATGTATTCTGCGTTCTTGTGTTAACTAATCTACAAATTGTTTCTTTCCTTAATCTCATCAAACATCTTTGCATCAGTAGTATTTGCTTTTTCTGACTAAACAATATTATTTCACCAGACTGGAAAATTAACTCGTTCGATCTATTTGTTTTCTTCTTTGTTTATATTAAATCATCATTTACATCATTTTTTTATATGAGAATTATAATATCTTTTTATAAATATGTGTGTATCGGTGAATTTCCTCTTTTAAATTCGCCCGTCCAAACAGAAATAAAACAATAATTCATATTCGCAATGAGAATCCTCCGGCGATATTGGTAGCAAATTGCACCGCACGCCGTTATCTATGGAAACGAGTAAGAAATTCTCGCTGCTGGCGCATGAATTATGTAGGAATGTGGCTCGTACGAACGCGCATTACAGATTTATTCAAACAACGAGTAGCGGTTATTAGTCGTAGTTTATGCCTGAACGTGATCCTTATCAACGCGACGGAACCTTCGAGCCAGTGATTTACTTCGCGAATTATCAACGCTTTTCCAACTCATCGTCGTTTTTACGCAAAACGGCTATTCGTATTTTCGTTTGTTCATTTGTTTGTGGCTTTACAATAGATGGATAAAAACCAATTAATCTATCGGACTGCTTGTTGTCGTGTTTACTTTTCAAAGTTTCTCTCGATATACAAATTTATTCTATAATTTTACTCTATAATTTCACGTGTGAATTTTAAAGCGCATGTGTGTCCGATCGGAACTCCGATCAGAGCGTTGCTTTTTGAAATTTTTCAGCTCGCGATACGCGGTGTTTTATTGCGGTTCGTCGTCGCGAGCAAAGCCCTGTCCGACAATCACGTCTGTCCAACCTTGCTCGATTAGGATCTCTCGATCTGTCTGTCTGCCCGTAGTGTGTGTCGCGCGCGCACGCGCGATTTATAATTCATTTCACCAGACCGATAACCGACGACTGGCCCGTTTGTGATTTCTTTCTCATTTTACCTCCCTTATTTTTCTGTTTTACGGCGAATCTGATATACGTGAAACGCAGCGACCGACCATCGGCGACACGCATTAAATGTCGACATGCTCTCTCGTTAAATGCAACGCGAACATAAACATTCTACCGTACATTCCTCGCGTTGCGCGAGATTGCCGTGTGATAAAATAAAAACCAACGACAGTTTAAATAACCTCATAGCTGGATGACTGTTATGAATATTGAGTTTATAATCGTCAGTATTCCCATTATGTTGAGTAAACGAGAATAAGATTATTACGGAATACACACTGTGAGTGCATAATTTGAACTTTAAAAGTTTAAAAACGTTGACAAGCTTCACGTGCATTTTTCGCGCTTTTCATAGCGTTACAGTTTATTCAAAAAAGAATTGAGTTTTTTTATTGCGATCTACGTAAAAAAACTGAAATTTATTACTTTATAACAATGCACATGTATATATTGTCATAGACGAAATATATAAATGGATAGGCAGAAAAATGCAAAACAAAAAATCTTCAAAAGAGACAGGGCGTTTCTCAAATTCTTCTTTGATCGAAATTTGTGAACATGAGAGACATACCTTCCAGAATTTGGAACTGTAATCATTCTTCATTCATGCAACACGCGCGATCAACGAAACAATTTCGGTCGCGTCGAACGGAGTCTCATCAGATTTTATGCATCACGAAAGAATTTGCTCCAAGGCTTCATGTATTATTCATTTTCTCTGTTAACGGATATGTTTCGTGTACATAATAAACGCGTTTACAAAATGCATCTTTTACGTTTGAGTGAGACATATTTAACTGTTTATTTTTTTCTATTTTGCGCGTAGACTTTCGAAATTAAACCAAAAGAACACAAAAGTAATTAAATTCACGTTTTGTTAGTCTCTGAAACGTGTGTAAAATTTTACTTTGTCTTTTATATACATATATGTATACACGTATTATTTTATCGCAATTTATATATGCAAATTACAATAAATTAGATTGGATAAAAAATTAAATTTTAAAGCAGATTAAATAACATTGCTTTTTAAAGTCCATCGTTTACTGTTTTTTCGAAATTGTTTTGCGTTCTTATCTATGCAGGTTTTAGTTAAAATATTATCTAAACACTTGTATTTGCACACCGTACTTGACTTATATACAAGTATTTACTATTTTTCTCACGAGTCTACAAAATTATTTTGTATTTATTTATTAATTAAATAATAAGTAATTATCTGTGACATGAGATGGTTTCTCATCATCTTTAATTAATTTGTATACTGTTAATATATCTAATTCCAAACTATAAATTATAATACACAAAAGAAAATCTTATTCTTTATAATAATTGACTATTTTGAATTTGCTTCAATGATATATATTTTACAAACACTATTTCATATGCTATTTATGTTTTCGTATATAAAACATATCTCTTTTTATATAGTTTTTGGTATTTCGTTGTTGTAACAGAAGCAGTGCCGCGAACCTGGCATATGAAACCGGAACTTCATTGCAATCCCGTGGGAGTTCCGGCGGGCGCGTTATCACCCCCGGCCACCCTGTCGCCACCCGGCAGCCCGAGCGTAATCACACTGTCATCTTCGCCTTGGAGCCCAGGTGTGCCAGGCAGCAGTTCGAGTACCATCACTTCTAACAGCGCGTCTTCTGGTCTTTGTCAACCCGTTTCCGATCGTTTTAGCGCTTTCACTCTCGTCTCAAATTACAACCCTGATCAACGATTGCAAAGTCTACCACTTAGCGCTAGCGCCACCGCGAGAGGTAAGTCACGAGATGAACTTGCAAAAAGCGGTGGTTTACGAAAAGCGGGAATCAGTATACTCTAAATTCGAATTTACGTAACACGGACATTTTGTGATTGCAGACATGCGTTGTGGTCTCATGTACAGTAGTTACGGGGCATCCGGGGGTGCCTGGTGGGCTCGTCACGTGGGTCTGTTGTTGCCACATTCCTTCCTTCCGCCCACGAGAATTCCGTCTCATCAAACTACGCCGGTAACAAATTGTTCACCTATTCATTCGGAACCTCTCAGTCCGACCCGTCCCGCATCACCGCGAAGATGTACACCGGAAAAAGCCAAATTCGGTAGGAAGAGCTTTCTGTTAATTGCTTATAAAACTTATACGTAGCACGTATGTGTAACAGATTTCTAAGCACACATTAATATACAGAAAGAAAAAGAGAGAGACTCTCTAGCGTTTTTATATTTAAATATATCAATCGGCATTTCTCTCTAAAATCTAATATAAAAAAGACAGTTACATGATATTAAAATTGAAATATACAAATCCAATTTTTTAGAAGCATAATAATAACTAGACTGAGATTATACGCGCGTGTATATTACAATTTAATAAATACTACAAAAACTATAAGGCATTTAAAAAACTATTCAAACAAATTTGCTTTATAACCACGATAAATATAAACTTGAGAGGATAAAATTGATGAAGCGCCTTATCAAGGTTTTAATAGACTCCGTATAGAGCGTTTAAAAAGTGCCTTTTTGAAAATAGACCAACTAACAAGCAATTATCGGTAAGTGGGTGCTATCGATCGCCTAACGTTGTCACAGAGGCATCAATTATCGCCATCGCGTCGTTTATTCGCGTTGCATGGATACTAATTACGCGAACAATTAATTTCTATCTCTTATATATCTCTGCATATGTATACATATGTATACATAAGATGTATAAAATGTGCGTCGCGAAACTATAAATACAGACACACATCTTCACTCACTTCTTAGCTTTTTAGTGTGTGTGACGTTGCAATAAGAAATTAATAATAAATTATTTCGATATCATAATATTGTTCTTGTACTTCTTTTTTATGGCACATAATAATATCAAGAATATATTTTTTGCATTATGATAAAAAGTTGTAGTTAAATCTCATGAGAGAATATTTATCAATATAAAAAGTCTAATATATTTTGTGTGCGAGTTTCTTTCATATATAAGTTAAATTAACGTGACGATAGATTTGCGGTTCAGATAGAAACACTTGTTTGAAAAAAAAAAAAAAAGAGAAACAAGCGAATGCTTGAAATGAATAGATGTGGATGGATCTCTTTTTGTTTCAGAGGAAGAAGTTCCGTTGAATCTCAGTACAAAACCGAGCGACGTCTCGTCGAGTATCGGTAACAGGAAAAGTGAAATCTGGTCACCGGGTTCGGTGTGCGAGAGGGAGGCCAGGGAAACGAGAGCACCGTCCTCCAGGAGTCCGTCTTCGACCCCTATAATTACGCGGCAAATTCATCACTCGCCACTTACGCCGCCTTCCTCGACGGAGAGGACTTTTCAAGTGAGTGTTAATATATCGTATTTTTTTTTTATTCACGTTTTATACGTACATCCCGCTTTATCGGGCACAGTGAATCTTGGACAATTTCACCTCGTGTAATTTTGGTCGATCGACCGTACGAAATGCAAAAACTGTAACAGATTTTCAATGACTCAATTAAAAAAATGGCCAGTAAGGCCAATATAAATCGCTACATCACGTCGTAAAGAGAGATTTTTGCAATGCGATTCTTTTCGAAGACTTCATTGCAAATCGCTGCGAAAAAAAAAACTGAAATAATGGAATTTTCAAAGAAGACCTGTGATAATCGATCCTAGAAATCTCAATTCGCGCCGCTTCTACGATGTTCGACACACATCGACAAGTTAATCGCGGGGTTGAAACGTGCACGAGCGATCTCGTACGCACGTACAATGCCTATTTTACGAGGTCGACAAACACTCAACTCTCACCCTTTTATTAGGGTGAGACAGTCATATTCCAAGCTCGTAAAGAAATTTCGGTTTTCGCGAGCGGTTTGTTACTTGTAAATGTTTATATAAAAATTGCACTTGTAAAGCAACAACTGATCGAGCGGAAATTTAACTCGCAATCACCGGATAAAATTAAATATTTCTTCTATCAATCATATTTTCGAGCGATTCTCTGTGGAGAAACTGTCCGCTAGTGGATTCTTCTATAAGTGAAGACAGGAACATTATTCCGGGACGGATTAATAGTTTACGAGTTGAGCTTCTCAGAACGCGACAGCTTTCGAAAAAGGTCGCCGATGATCGATATGTGGAACGTTTTTTTTACGACACACAGCGGAAGTGTTTCTCGCCAATCTGATGGTCAGGTCACGTTGATTTTCTTGAAAATCGATATTTCTATACGAGCTATGCATATTTGTCACAAATAAAAAAAAAAAACCCCCGACTTATCCGCAACAAACTCGAACAGAGTTTGTCAATTTCCAAGTACATACAAGCGTGCACTTTTACGTTTGTTGCAACAACGGATTCCGCACAGTTTCAATTTAATATAACCGATGTAAATTTCCTCGTTTTCCCGGTGTCGTATCACGTGTTACACAACAGCGTGTCAAAATGAACAAGTGATTTTTTTCTTTTGTCTCGAAATGAAGAACGAAGTTATAAAATTTTTATCCAATAGAAATAGTTCAATAGGTGCCTAATTATGAAAAGAGATTCTCTAATAATCCCGCACTGTCCACACAGCTGTCGGAAAAGAAATGTCTGCACTCGTGTTCAAATAAGACATTATCATTAAGCATCACGCATCTGTTAAAATTAATTACCATAACGAACGTAAACCCGGACGTGAACAAATATCTCAGAGTGTCAGTTTGAGTTATTTTATCACGGCGCACCGCACATCCGTCGTCACAGTTTTCTTTTCTTCGATGTGCACAGAAGCGATCGCGACTTTACCGTACGTCACGTATCGAGTGAAAACCGGTCGATCTTCGTTTGAGAAGAAAAGAAAAAAAAATCGCACAGAGCGATACGGCGAGTCACGCGATACGAAATTTCTTCGGGGCGCGTAAGTACCCTTAAGTGCGTCGGGGCGAGGAAACAGGTCAAACGTTTTGACGAATATCGGGATCTCGACAAAAGGCCCTCGCCGCAATTACGTGTGATTGAATGGGAAGCAGAGAAACTCGCCTTACCGTGGTTTTACCGTCCGTGACACGTAACCGTAATCCGACATATTAGGATATGTGGGCCGCGCACACAAACGTGTATATGTACACAACTATTGGCATAAATATATACATATGTAAAGAGATACGAGAGATTCTTGCGTGGAAGTGACAGCGTTAAAAATTCTTCGTATTTACATGCTTGAATTTTTCAACATTATCGACATTTTTGACGACTTTTCCATCAAACAATTCTTTTTCGCGAGTGTTTTAATTACTGTATTTTAGGTTCGGACCACGTGTTCTTAAATGCAGAGATTTTTTTTTTGTGGAAATATCGTGTGAGATGTATGTGGTTTTTGTATAATTTTATTTATATATCTCGCGATGGTTTTTCCCGCGTTGTATAACTCATCCGTGAGAAAGCCGCAGTCTCCTTTATTTAATTCACGTCTTCGTAGACGAGCGACAGATGTTCCGACGACGGAACTCGGAGGAGGAGAGAAAAAGGGCTGGACAAAGAGCGAAAGATTAACGACAATTACGCGATTTCGCGAATATATCGCGAGGAGTAACATGAAAAGTGGAAGGTGGCCGAGAAGGCTGCGACCGGACTCTCTCGGCGGCTTTGTTTCCGAGCCGTATACCGGAAGCAGACGCTTTCGTGCGGTGACAATGGCAAGAGACCGCGTCGTCGTCTTCCGAGCCTCTTTCCTTCTCCTTCAACGTTTCCGTCGCAATCTCTCGCAACGGACAGAAACACACCCCGCTTATTAACGAAAACCTTTGGCTCCGCGTTTCGTTTTCCCTTTCTTCGAAATCCGTAAACGGGACGGTCCCACCGTTAAACCGTTCTAAGGTCTTTCGCCAGATGGACGGCGGAACAATTAAAAGCAACAATTGAGTTTTTGTTCTTGCGTTACCGGTGTGACTCGAGATGTACCGCGATGGGGTACCATATTGCTTTAATTACAACTCGGGGGCTCGAAATAATGTGCTTCGTTCCGCATCTCAATCTGACGTATACACATACAAATTCGCAGCGGTGAAACGGATACGAGTTTTGTTGTCTTAAGGAAGTAAAAAAATATACACGTGACAATTTGCCTTTGGTGATTTTCCGTTCACTTTCGAACAATGGAAATTATAAAAACCACGGCATACGCCGACTGACGGCGCGACACCGTCAAGTCAAACAAGTCAAATGTGTCGCGTGAAGATAGGTCGCTCTTCCCAATATTGATCGCGACGCAACGTGAATCATGCGTACTCTTGCACTCGTGTGTACGCGCGCGTAATAATATTCCGGCATATTCATACGCCATATATATTGTCAACCTGAACACGCATCGAACCGCGCCGCCGCGCCGGGACATTGTGACGACTGGCGCCCGTGTGACAATGAACCAGAATAGTGAAAGAAGAAAGAAAGAGAGAGAGAAAGAGCGAGAGAAATATATACGACGCTTCGTGAACACAGGTGTGCCTGGCGTCCCGGCGCTCAGAAGTGAGCGTCTCCCTTATCGCTCGCTTTCATTCCCTTCGCGTCTACGATTAAAAAAAAAAAAAAAAGACTTATAACAGTGGAAGTCGCGCCACAAACACTTGGAGCATAGCATAACACGAGCTCTTTGCACACTGTACGCGCGTTTCAAAACGTACATACGTTTACAACACGGTACTAGTTGACTGTGCGATTGGGACTTGAATTGATAATTTTCCGTTAATAAAACACGAGACCTGATTTCCTTTTCGGTTTGATTTTTGATCGGGAATAACGTCATGTGTAATTAGTGGGCGCAGAACATTTGTTGTGTATTTACACTAATACGCTTATTTGCTTGCAAAGTTAAAAACGATAAGTTAAAAACAATCTTAATAGTAAAACAACATATCTGAATAAAGTATTAATTAAACGGCTCTAATATCTTTTTATGTATAAACAAATTTTATACAATATAGTATTATACACACATACACACATGTAAAAGATTTGAAAAGAAAAATTTGTAACTATATATAAATAGAGATTATGTAATTATATTACATATATGTATATAATTGTTAATCACACACGATATTAAAATGTGATCTGTTTGTTAAAATAGTGCAAGCAGTGCGGAAAAGCCTTCAAACGGTCAAGCACACTCAGCACTCACCTACTCATCCACTCCGACACGAGGCCTTATCCCTGTCAATATTGCGGCAAGAGGTTTCATCAAAAGTCGGACATGAAGAAACACACCTACATCCACACCGGTGAGTTTTCCGCAATTCAATTCTGTTCTTTGTTTATTTTTGATGTGCTGACAAAATCGCGCAATACGCGTGTAAGATCCAATAATTGGCAAAGATCTGTCAATTGTTTCTCTTTTCAAAAGTGCCAACTAAAGAATTCAAAATTAATTAGTAATGTTGTGAATTTTTTGCCTCGTATCGGCCTTTTCATCGATTATTATTCTATTTTTCAAAATTAATGTTGTCATAAAACACCCAAATTGATCTATAATCAAGTAAAAAGTATTTATAGACAGAAATATTAACAACTAGAAAAGTCAATAAATACTAATCATTGAAAGGGTGCTAATTATAAATTCGGTTATCCTACGTATGAAATAATAGGTCCGAAATCAAGATGCGATAAATTGTGAAAGTTTGTTACTTTGAAAATGTTTTATACACGTAGAAAACAGTTAAAAATATAATTCAATTAAAATTCTCAGGGGATTATTACTTATTAGTTATTGTTACTGGCCTTATTATGTCTCTAATAGCAGAAAAAAGTTACTATATATCAAACAAGGGATGAATACTTTCATTTATCTACGACAAGAAATACACGTGTTATGTTTTATAGAGAGATAATTTAATTTTTGTTTCTAAGACTGAAATAGAATTATGAACAACGTGTGCGTATATACATATATACATATATATACGTATAGTCTCCGAATTAAACCGCATTGTACTCGTTTGATCTCTTTGCGCGCTATCGTCGTTTTAAAAGACAGATTATAATGCTACAACCGGACGAAGCGGGTGGAACCGTATAACAAAGTTTTGGCGTAAGTTGCGTGAGTTTTTGTCGATAATTGCAATCGTTGGTAACAAGCCTCTACTTTGTACATCTAATTTTTACGTTGGAACTATACTCGTAGCCCGAGTCTCTTGTCCTCGGAATTACAGCTTGTCGCATGTTCTCTCCCTCAAAGTTCTTTCTTCACGGTCTTTGACCAAATGCTGCTGATCGATAACTACAGTTTGTTGGTAACGAGCTTCTTGTCTTTACACCTCAAACGCAAAACGACAAGTTAAAAATAATTTCGATAATAGAACATGATATCTGAATTAAATAATTAATCGGGCGCTCATACTTTTATGTGATAAATCTTACAATTAAGATTTCCCTTTTATAGAAATTAATCCCAACAAATATTTGAAATTAGAAACAAATTTTATACACAATACAGTTGTATGTGCATATTAATATTATTATTATTATTATTATTATTATTATTATTATATAACGATATTTCAAGCTTTTTAGATTTAGTTGCTGTTTTTATTGTTCTTTTATAATTGTTTTTACAAAGACACATCTTTGTTTACATTCTATTCTGAACAAAAGACGTGAGATCGAGTCTTCGATCTTCGAATGGTTTTCGAATTATTTATTTATGGCGACTGTCTTGTTGCCACTGTTGGCTAGGCTGCTCTGTACATTATTCAAACCAATGGTGTGCTACGATTGGCGAAATGTTCGAACACAAGTCGCGCGCATCACGCGCATCACGCGCGTGGAATAAAGACGGGAGGGAATCTATTCTTTAGAGTTTCTAAAAATGCAACACAGAATTTAAAATTCGTTGAAACTTGCTGATTTCTCTATTTCTACTCGTATAAAGAATATACTTACGTTTTTTTATAATATAGTTTTTATTATATATATATATATATTATAATATAAATCATATAATTAAGAATATTTGTAATATGTCGTCATCTGCTATAGTGTTCTATGTATCTATTCAGATTGCGTTGTTTTATTCCATTATTACAAAACTATTTTGTTATTGGTTTGCTATTTATACTACAAAACTTTGTAGTACAAGTCAGAAAAAACGAATTGGCAATCGGATTGGCTCTGTGGACTGTGATTTATTCCAAATTTGTTTTTTTTTTTTTTTTCAAGATCTAAATGCGAACACGCACACTGGGCACAATAAATATATCGGCAAATCATCGAGCTATTTCATATGAAAATCGCGTCTCATCACGCACATGAGCAAACAGCTGTTTTTCTTTCTTTCGTCATACAAAATCGCCCGAAGGTGAAAACGTGCTCATCATGCAACAAATAGCGCAAGTCGTTTTATATTATACATATGTGTAAAATATAAAACAATGTTGCAATATGTATGTCGGAGAACTTTAGACATAATAAATAGGAATTAGTGAAGGTATCATTAATAAATTTTTAAAAAATGTTTTTTTGTTTTTTCACGTGATGTATATAAAATACTATCACAATTCCGAACTGTGTAAATACAAAGTCTAACCGTTTTTGTGATATTTGATGCTTTTGCGGTGTGTTGTATTCGAAGTATTTTTCTTAATCGGCAAGCGTTGATCGCAAGCGATAGGGATACGTTTTTAATAGCGATTTAATCAGCTGCTACGTTTTCTCGTGGAAACGACCGGAAGGAGCGCATGTGCGCATGGGAAATGGTCTGTTTGTCGCACGTTAAGAGAGTTTCCGGCGCGACACGTGCCCGACACGAGTCGTTGTGGGGTGTGCATGTTGCACGCTAATTAGCGGCTAAGGGAAGAATCGTTGTCGTCGTTTTCGTCGTCGTCGTCGTCGTCGTCGTCGTCGTCGTCATCGTTGTCGTCGTTGGCGTCGTCATGTCGTAGTTAGAAACTACAGAGAAAGAGAGAATAGCGTCCTCAAATGCTCCAAGAACTTTGCTTTAGACATTTTGTGCTCTCTTTATGAGGGGTGAAACATAATGCGAACATAATGCGAATTTAATCGATTCTTCTCCCAACGACTTTTTTGCTATCAATTTCGCTTCTCCCAGATCGGAATACTCGAGATTTACGAATAATTGAGGAAGTAACAATGGAAACGAGATTTATGTAAATAATACTAGTTAGTGTTTATAAACACTAAAATAATAATTTAAACTTAACATAGATTTGCTACAAGATTTCAAAATATCTTATACGTTTTTTCTTCCTCTTTCTCTGTCTTTTTCTCTGTTTTTAAAAATAATAAATTCTATATATTTCTATAAAAGAAGATATGAAAATATATATATTAACATACATTTAATAATTATAAAGATTTATTTACTTTGCGACTCTTGATATAATACATGCATTACAGATATGCGCAATTAAAAAAAATTCAAATAAGTCTTCTAAGAGTCAACGCAGATGTCTCGGTACAAGATAATATATGAGCCTAAATACTTATTATACAAATTTATTGGCATATAACCAATCTTAAATAAATATTAATCTCTACAGAGATGGCATTTGTTCACAAGATAGAAAAACATTATTTCTTTTTTAATTATATTTTATCTAAAACCATTAGTTACAATTATATTAAATAAGACTGATAAAATTGAAAAAAAAAACAATACTGAAAAAATCTTATTTGAATTCTGTTTATTTTAAAGTCGTTTTTATTCGCGTTTGTCTAGATGCATTTTTGTTTATAAAGCTGCGTTATCATTAGTTAATTACTTAAAATTAAAGTGGAAGTTATGTATAATTAACGGTCATATCTATTCACTTTTGTGTTGCATATAGTATAATAAGAAGATAAAATAATATATGTAACATGAAAATATATGTATTTACTATTTCAAGTCCCGCAATATGTGAATCGCCGATATTTATGATAATTTTCAAGTAAGTTTACGTGTACAACGTTTTTTTTGTATCGCTAAAATAGACCTCCTTGAAATATAATTGCAGGTGATACTAAGGTTATTATATAAGCATGTAACGTATGGTTTAAGCTTTAAGGCAGAAACGTAATTTTTTAACGTGACTTGGTGTTGAAAACAAATATATAAATTTTTTATTTTACAAATACATAAATTTTTTTACTGTTTTACAAATATAGTAATATTGTTTTACAGCTGTATAGTAATATCAGTAACAACGTTATATAAGTTTTCTTTCTCAAAGTGATATAATATTTAAAAATTTGTTGCATTTATAGACGTTGATAGAATGTACTTACAAAAAGAGAGAGAAAGAGAGAGAGAGGAGAACGTTTATGTGCAAAGTTTTATGTTTTATTATTTCTCTCTTTTTCATATATAAAAAAGAACATTTCTTGTTGAAACTTTTTTCTTTAAAGTCTGTTTTTGTAACGCTTTATCTATAGCTTTAAAACACACATAGTCTCACTTAATGCTTTTTGTATATTTCATTTAAGAGGGATGAAACTTTACAAATGTTTTGACCTCCCCAAGTTTTCTGTGACAACACAGCACTTTTCGAGATATATGTTCTATAGATGCAATTTTACGCTATATACGATACTTTAACGTAATCTTTGTCAATGTAAGTATATATATATATATATATATATCAAACAAATTCCTCTATTTTTTTACACATGTGTGTGTGTATAAAATACACACACATCGAGGAAATAGAGAGATTCAACGATATTGCAATAAAAATTTTCAATGAAAACACATCGTGTAAATAATTTCTAGATGTGGGATACACAGCAGGTTATTTCTCTCATTGTCACCCTCGCATAGGGCGATATCTTTTCGTGGGGTGGTAATATCACCGCTGTAATTTCGTTTCTTGCATAATTGACTGACACTTATCATGATTACTTTGTAGTACTCAACCACTCCGCTCGCGAATACGCTTCTCACGTAACGCAAGTCGCGTTGAATATTTATTTCTTCCTTTCTGTTGCATCGAAAGAAATGAAAAAAAAAAAAAGATTTCGCGTTTCTATAAACATTACTCGTATAAAAATGCAATATGTTCCCGACCTTCTTTCGAGATTATACATTTCTATAACTCGAGAAAAAAACACTCATGTTGTAACATTTATTATTTACGTTGTGAAACGTGTACACGCGTGCATGTTTTTTTTTTTTTTTTTTCCATGCAACTGCGTTGCGGCAAAATTATTCAACTCTTGAGAGAGAGAGATGCGCCTTCTGTATAATACAAATACACCATCGAATCGCGATGACAGTTATTGTCGAAAAAAACTCGCGTCCCTTACGCACACTTTCACTCGGCAATTTCGATTTGGATCTCACCGAACAGATCAATAGGATCAGCCGTTTCACCCTAAGACCATTAGCCGGAAGAGGACGGAGAAAAGAAAGACGAGAATAAGTCTGATCGCTTCCGGCGAACGAACAACCGGAGAACAACTTTTTCCGCATGCCGGACGGTAATCAGCGGAACAAATGCCTGAAACAATTGGCCGACGACCGCGTATTTCCGGTAAACTTTCGCCTACTATATACGCAGGTACTCGCGGATAACGCAGGGTTGTACTGTGTCGTTGTATCTCGTCATATACGCTATGAAACAACCGTTATTTCGAGAGCTTTGACAGAGCAATTGAAACGAATGCGCGCACATTAAGTAAAACGGTGTGTGTGTTGTTTGCAAATTTTACCGGCAAACTATGATTTCGCGGTGCATCCCAGAAACAAAGAGTGTGGTTTTGATCCAACTTTGTCTATTGTATCAATGCGTATTATGTCGCGCGCCGCGACATCACATTTTCGCGCGAACGCAAGATTCTCGCTGTGAAATGAAAGAAAAACTTCAAAGAATGAGAGTTGATTTCCGCCGCATGCGCGGTTTGATAGTTTAACGTCTATATGAAATATCAAGAGTCTCTGAGGTCTTTGCTTTAAACAAACACAGTTTGCGCAAAAGCGTCGAGCCGCGTCGGATATTTCTTAACAAGGCTTTTCCAACAGAAAAAAAAACCGAAGAGGCTCCTGTGAAAATCTAAACTAATCATTAAACTGATCATTAAGAGCCAAAGCTCCTTTCAGAAGCTTCTTCGTTTAAATTGCGCCAGTCGAAAGATGCGTTATTGTGTTTATTCTCATGGCTTGATATTTGAATATTGCGAGAGAAACACCGAGTGCCTCGGTGACCGAATTGGGAAGGCGATTGCATGGAAACCAAGAGATTTCAGGTTCGACTCCTGACCAAAGTGTTTTTTTGCAATATTTTAAAATTAGATAGACAAGGAAAGAAGACATTTCTCATATATGTGATGCACATTCAGCATCCTATAAATTAAAGCATTTTATGAATTAAAGAATTGAATTTTCAATCCAAAATTCAGTTGTATAATTTACATTAAAATTATATAAATATATATGTTTATATATATATTCGTTTTGCATCCAGCGTTTGGCTCTTAATTTAATGTTAGTTTAGAAAAAATCCGATATCAATCTTTCTCTCTCTTCTCCCTCTATCTCTCTCTCTCTCTCTTTCTCTCTCTGTGTTTCCTCTTCTCTTTCATTATTACAGTCGATACCGCGGCTATTACATCACGTTCGTTAAAGAAGACGGACCTGCATAATTAAGAGCGATTCGCTCCGCTGTGTGCGTCATGTACGGATAAGTACGCACACAGAAAAACGTGTGCTACTCGCTCCTATCATTATAATCGGTCGCGAAGCAAACGTTTCAGCCGGTAAATATTTAAGGCGACCGGTAAGGGGCCGGTAATGAGAGTCGAGATGGATCGATAGACATAGGACGAAGTGTATACGCACGTCCGTATAGGTCGCTGACACTCTCGATAAATATTGTCCGGTAGTCCGCAAATCATATCTATTTTCTTGTTCTTCATGCGTTTACGTGTGTGAAGAGAGAGAGAGAGAGAGAGAGAGAGAGAGAGAGAGAGAGAGAAAGAGAGAGAGATAACGTGCGCGCACGCGGCGATATATCATGGCGAAGAAATTAAAAAGTCTAAGGCAAACATCGCGCTGTCACACTTTTCTCTTCTTTTTTTTCCGAGTCGCTCTTCCTCCGAACGATATACAAAACACATTCCGTGTTGATTCTGAAAAGGGCAAATAAACGCGGCAAAATGTCACCTAATCGTTCTGCCTCTATTCAAATATATTACAGCCCCAAAACACAATTTAACTAAATATCAATTTGCAGTTAATATCAATTCACGTTGCGTGCGTTAACGATGTTTTAAACATCGTAAAATCCTGCGCGCGTTAATTTTAAGTTATTATTCATATTTATCGTTCTTCCACGTGTGTTAAATTTTGTTTTAATTTTCTTAGAGTTTATCATCGCACAACAAGGCCGTATGAGTTGTAAAAGTCTCGAATCATGATTGCGAACCTCTTATAATAAATTTTCTGATAAAACGCCGCATATGTGTGTGTGTGTGTGTACACAAAGATACGTGTTTTCATGTACGCTTTTTTACATTCTGTAATATATATAACACATGTCAGAACTATATATTGTCGTTTCTAAACTTATAGTTGCACTACTTGCGATACTTCGAGAGCTCATTCTTTATTTTTTTTTAACTCGGGAAATACATACTCGCCTTGGTCGTTCGTGAAATAAACCTTTGTTCTTGTCAATAATATCGAGATGTTTATGACAAGAATGTATGCGCGTATGCCGAACAAGTACAAACTGCAGAAAACGTGTGCGGAATAACAATGCAGGTTGCATTTGTTTGCTCGAAGCAAATGTTCTAATTAAGCGCGTAATGTTTTCAAGGAATTTTCTATATACTAGTTTCACACACATATGAGTTCGAATGTGTAACGTATAAAATATGAAGTGAGACGCGCGACCGAATCAACGAATTGCTTAATTAAAATCATATACGTAAATTAACGAATCCACGTATAGCGAGTTGTATCGATAATATAAACGTCATTTTGAATGCGTTTGGCTTTAGTGATGAATTCGCTCGAATATGAGGTTCAAGCTTTCTGTTGAAATAATCTTAGAAAATTGAATCGTAATCGGCACAATTACGATAATTGTATTTTTCGTTATGAAGAAAATGATAAAACGTCCGCGTCCGAATGACAAAGCGACTGTCAGTTACGCTCTCTTATATTGCGTTTGTGCTATATGAGCGCGCGATAATTCCAACGGTTGTATATCGAAATGAGAAACGGCGATAAATTTAATTTGAAGAAAAGAAACCTGATGCACACCGTTTCTGATGACTCAGGAAACGTCAAGAAAAATAAAAGTTTTTTTATTCTGCGTAAGATGCGAGAAAAATCGATTTTTGCTCATTTCACATGTCTCGAGCATTGTAGAATAATTATATTTACAACTGATGTATGATAGAGAAATTGTCACTAACTTTATTTTCCCGCATACAAGGAACCCAATTTAATTATCACACACAAGTAACATAAAATGTTTTTCTCTTTTCACAATGAGCTGTGATATATATTTTTTTTTTTTTTTTAATTCTTTCTGAGTTATTCTCCTGATCGCTTTTTATTCAAGCTTATTCGAAAGAAAACGAAGTGCCGTGTGCTCTCGCACAACGTGGAGGAAGGCAGAATTAATTTCTTTCCGATAGAATCTTAACGACGACGTTTTCCGTCGTGTTACACCACTCTGGAGGCGTCTGTATACTTTTTATCGTCGCTTTACAATCGTAAAACTGTTTGCTCGGAATTTCGAGCGAGAGAGAGAGAGAGAGAGAGAGAAAAAAAAAGAGAGAGAGAGTGCCCGTCTCTCCATAATGCAAACTGTTTGCTCTGTATTATCATCGTCGCTCGATCGACGGCGTTTAGACGGCGGACTTCCAGAAGACTGCGCGACAAGAGTTTACAAGAGTACGCGGTCGCGTCTAATTTTTTATTATTATTATATTACTATATCTGGCTGTGTGAAATAGTCGCGATATGCCATGCGAGACAAACGTTCTTCAAGATTCGCGCGAACGATTAACGGAGGAAGTTGTTGATTTTTTTCTCTCGTGTAACGATATCACGAGAATAAGTGCAAGATACGTGCAAGATTATGCGACTGACGTTAATAAATGATGCTCATGACACTTTTTGCATTTGCTGTTGATGAAACCGTATTTGTCAGGGAATTACGATAAAACGTATGGACTCTCACGAATGATTCTCGTTAGTATAATAATTTTATTGTCAAAAGGCGCATTATCTTGTACAGAAAACATTGCGCGCGTAATGTTCTGTATATTTTTACTTACAACTGTTGGTTTTAGAAAACTTAACGCGTTTATGATATCATTTCAGTGTGACAATAAGTTAATTACTTTATTAATTAGTGATTTATAATTGATGATGCTTTTTCAATCGTCCCATTCAAAAATCTCGGACAATTGCATCAACAGTATTCGTCAGCTGATGATAAAGTATCGCATATGATGTTGATGTCGTGAGTTTTTCTTTTAATTGCGCGTAATTAGATGTGCATTAAATAGCAACACACAGTGTAACCGGTAAATTTTTATATGAAAACTCTTTATGCAGATCTGATGCATGGAGTATAACACGGTAACGCGTATCGCAAGACAGACTTGTATATTTTTTCAGTCATGCACTGTCAGATATAAATGTATATCGCCAATAATGCCGACACGAACTACGATTTATTTGTTGATTCAGTTGGTTCGTCTCGTTATATCAGACCGCGTTGTCTCCGATCGGCAATAATCGGCGAATTTGCAAACGCAATTTACGCATTACGCGATATATGTATTTAATTATTATGAATCGATTGTGTCTTCTGCGTGTCTTTACTTACGAGTTGTGCAAGTAGTTAATTGTTTGATTCGTCGGCACGTGGTAAAAGAGATGTATTTTCTATCGTACGTGTAATAACTCAAAAAAATATCTCGAGACGTGTCGATCTCGACTCGATTTTGAAAAAGCAATTAAAAAAAAAAAAATATTCTGTACGCACAACTATAAGAGAAATAATGAGGTTAAAATGAGATTCAAGCGGAATATTTGAAGTTTAAATTACAATTCGCGCATCTCGCATACAGAAAACAATCTCTTCACTCCCACTGCGAATTTTAATTAAAGAAATCATTGCGGAAAAAAATCAAGATATGTTCTATATATATATGAGAGAGATTTCGAACGCGTCTCACACATTACAGTGAGCGTGACCGATGGAGAAAGAAAGAACGTTTAAACGTCACTCCGGAATTTGATTTGTTGCAGGTGAGAAACCCCACAAGTGCGTCGTTTGCGGCAAGGCGTTCTCTCAAAGCAGCAACCTGATCACTCATATGCGCAAGCACACGGGCTACAAGCCATTTCAGTGCGGTCTCTGCGACAAGGCGTTTCAGAGGAAGGTCGATCTGCGAAGGCATCGGGAGGGTCAGCATCCAGCGGCGCCAGCGCTCGATTATCGCTCCCTGCAGATACCGCCGAATAGCAATCGGCACTCGCCGATACCGTCGCACTCGACCGCACCGCCTTCGACCGGTTATCATATGATACCCGGCACTCCCGGCAGTAGCTGAGATTTGTTCGTCTGACAGACGCTTCATCTGTGAAAAATGACGCGCACTCAACTGAATAATAAGCGTCCCGCGCTCGTAGGGGGTAGGTATATGTCGTTGAAATCGGCGATGAAAAAACTGCCCGTCATCGTCAATTAAATCGTACTGTGAGATCCCAGTAACTGGTTTCTGTGTGGTGTTTAATCGGTTCGGCGAAAATAACAATAATGCGTTACGAGTAATCATGCATGGGCACCATTCATGTACTAAACGTATTTATTTGTGTGAAATAGCGGCGCACACCGACGTTTCTTATCACAAGCGAGTTCGTTGCGCGAAGTTGAAGATTGACGTAACAAATACACAACTCAGTGACCGTATGCATTATCACAAGGTAGAGATTCAAGATGTGTGAATAGAAAACACAATCTGCCGTGTCAAAAAAGTCACTGTCTTCTTTTGCGATTTCCACTTATAAGTTCAGAGAAATAGACACATTTCTTATCACAATCGAATACATCCTTTTGAGCGTCGTATCAGAGATACATTTACGGAGCGTGTGATTAAACAGAATGTATCAACGAGTTCTTACATCGAGCTGTTTTGAAATATTTCTCTTGTAAACTCTACTTGTCGTGTATCACTCTCAATATATTCGAAGTATGTTAAAGCGCGTCTAAATACATAAATAATATTCGTGTGTTTAAAATATGTTCATTGAGCTCCGTGCAATATGCTCTTAAATACACATGTTGAAAAATTATTTTTAATACGTCTCTTTTCTTTTCTAGCTCACATGTGTACAAATTTTACAGAGAGATCGTTTACGTGTGTTATTTATTTAATAAAATTATTGAATAATTGAATCATCGGTTTTAACATTTATGTATAATTGTTAGACATGTATACATATGTGTATATATAAGTGACTATTTTGATGATAACAAACATATGCGCATAAGTGACAAAACTACGAAAAAATGATAACTTATAAAAAAACAGTATTTTTGTTGCTTTTACTTTGTAATTGATATATCCTGAGCTTATAAAAACTGTGACAAAAACCAAGTTGTATACAAAATGTGTATTGTATCGAGCTCTGAGAGAGGAAGAGAAAAAGAGAGAGAGAGAGAGAGAGAGCTAATTGTAAATATATAATACTGTTTGTTTATATTGCACATGTTTTATAGTCCATTGAAACCAAAGTCGCCTATGTTTGTAAAGAAAAATCAATCGAATAAATTAGTTCAACAATGTATATTGCTAAATCAAAAATTATTGTCAATTAGTCCGAGATAAAAATATCACGTCACTTTGAAACCGTTTTACAATAAATATATATTTGTAAACGTTGTTATTTTATAATTCTATTTTATAATTCAATTTTCTTTTGTATCTTTTCTAATATCTTTCTCATGACATAAATGAATTGAGTGAACACGTTTTTCTCCGATACTTTATAATTGTTGCGTAGAAAATTATTCCAGCGACGGAAAATCGAAAGTGATGATTTCGAACGCGGGAGAAAGAAAGATGTGTAGCACGCATACAAGCACGCTGTATTTTTTTCTGCACCGAAGAATACAATCGATGTTACAATCCGAAGATCGCGAGTAAAACTTAAGAGGATGCTGAACCGTACCGTTTTATCACATTTTCGTAGTTTACTTCTCATTTTGCAGTTATTGATCGGAATGAAAAACGCTTCTCTAGAATGAAAGACAATTTGCTAAAAAATTGGAAAACTTAAGAAAAATACAAGAAAAACGACAAAAAGTTTATGGACCGTTACTGAGGTTACTACATTTTCACTTCCTATACAAAATTGGTAGATGATTCAAACGGAAAGTTTATAGTTTTCCATTTTACAGACATAGATGAATATTTTGAACGTTTCAGAAAAAGACTTTGAAGCTTCTAAGAAATAGGAGTAGAAAATTAGAATTAGTATAGTTTTAGCAGAAGCACCAAAGTTATATAATCTAATGCGTAAAACAGCGAGTCTGTTTCATTCTAAAAAGAAGACGGATGACAAACGAAAAACAAGGAGAGAGAGAGACACATCTATCCTCCGTTTCAATCCGACTAGAAGGCGCTACCTTCCGGACAGTGATAGCGGCAAATCAAATTTTGACGGTTTAGCATTCTCTTAAATGTAAGAGAGAGTTTTACATTCGCGTGAAAGAGCTTTATGTAAATACAGTTTTTTATGTTTTTTTTTTTGTTTCACAAAACGCCCCAAAGAAACGAGTATCCGTCCCTGTATATGTGAATAAAATACGACGAAGAAGTCGCTGGTAGGCGATTCGTGAGAAAATCTCGTATGTAAAATTCGCATATCCGGCCAACAAATCATAGCGGCTAGAGGACCAAAGATAACGTAAATCGGACCTGATCGAATGGTACTTAATCGGGTTTTCCCGATCTTAAAAACTTTGCGATATAAAAACGAGTTGATGCGACTAAAATGAATAACGACAAGATAGATCGTGAAAGCTCGACAATTTACCATGGATTCCGGGTCCTTCGTACATACATACATACAGATTGTAACATACCATTAGAATTAGCTAGTAAGATAATAAATTATGTGCGATGATTAAGCGTATATATTTAAATTAACCGTCCGATAACGACGACGCGTCGTTGGCAATGATTTGTTCGCAATCGAAGATCGACGGAGCTGAATCGAAAAAAAAAAGACATTATTCTCCCGAGAGTAACAAATATTATAGCGCTACATGTGTCTTATACAACAAAGCCTTCCAACTCGCGCACCACGGCGTGCGGTTTGCGCCATAAGATTTCTATGCAGTCACGTAATCAGTTGGAAGGCTCTGTTATACAAAATTCGTGCGCCGAGCAATTTTGTGCGCGAGCTATACATATATATATATATATATGTATATATATATATATATANAAGATTATATATAAATTTATGTTTAGGAAACTGTCTCAATAAATCTCGATAAGTAAATATCTTTCAAGATATTTGTATAAGTGTGTCTATACAAGAGCATTTCTGTGTGTGCGTGTGTGTTGAATAAAAGAATGAGAGAGAAAGAGAGAGAGAGCGAAAAAGAAAGAAAGAACGCAATAGTGATAAGAGAAGTACTGCGAGCTCAAGTAAGAGCGACTTTTGTGTTAATCGGAATAAAAACCAAAAATATATTATATTATTACTAAAGAAGATATTGATTAAATAAATTGTTTTTCTTATAAATTGTGTGTATCTTGATATTAACATCCTTTCATTACTTCCTATACACGCTCACACATTCTTTCTTACTGTACTTAGCTCTTTAACTAATGCACATTGCAAGAAGAATCTCCGCGGTGTTTTTTTATTGATATTATTACAATTCTTTGTTTCTGTTACGCCTCGCTCGCAAACAATTTGCAACGGAGAAGATGAAAATTTTCAATAGCAATTTTTGATCACGTAAAACGAACAAAGTTCTATATGAGAGTGAAAAAAAGTTCAAATTCAAAGAATGATATAAAAACGTACATGCACGACACGACGATGTGTCGACGTGCACGTTGCGCTCGTAATTGGTCAATTTGCAATTCGCGATCCCGCGGACGCGAAGGCGAGCCGCGATTTTGCGCGATAACGTACGGGGAGAGAGATAATCGGAACCCGATTTCTATCGGAATGCGGCAATTTATACGATCGAAACGATAAAATCCTTCGGTTTTATCGCAAAGGATCCTTGGAACTAATCCTTTCTTGTTGATTCACCTGCGTGAGTTCGACGCGCGAGCAAGTTTGACAGAAGCGCGTTGTATAACGTCGCACTAAACAATGAGTTTTTATTTTTCTTTCTTCGTTCTTTTTTTATATTCCTTCTCGTTTTATCATATTCGCGATATTTAACACTTTTACTTCCTGATGTTTTATTTTTCAGCAAACATTTAATAGTGCCTCTTTTCTGTTCAATATTACGCTTTATTTTGTCCTTCTGTCTTCTATTTGATTCGTAATTTTTTAATTTTTCTGGTTCGTAATTGTCGTGATTTTTTGGATATTTTGTTAATTAAAAAAAATTACTTTTTACTTAAAAATATCCGTTTGAATGAGACTGAACTTTGAAGAATGTCACACGTCCGGTGTAACGAATATGCTTTTTACCGTGTTTAAGATCGTGTTTCATTGTCGGCCGATATACCTCGCGCGCGTTCTCCTTTCCAGATCTCTGGTTTTATTACCGCTAATTATGGATGAGCAATAAACTCGTCCCATAGCGCAGACATTTGAAAATGATCCCAGTTTCCCTACGCATCATCGCCTGAGCACTTTCCGCTCGAATTATCAGCACATTTTGCATAGTCTGGTTAAGTTACTTCCCGATTCGTAATACATACTTCCGCCAAGATTACCTCTCGCAAACAAAAAGAACTTAACGGATTAACTGTTAATCGTGGACTGATTACTAAACTTTTAACCTCGCGTTATCACAGATATTGCTTTCAATTTGCTTATTAATTAGTTTTTATTTTTGTTTTTTATCGAATTGAATTTAAAACCAGTCACCTATTTGTCAAAAAACAAATTTTTATTTTAAAAAATCTGAATCCTGATATTTCTTACTTGCCGCAAGAGAAATGTATAAATATCAGAGTAACAAAATATCACAAAAGGCAAAAAACTAACGGTCTTAGGAGTAGAAATGAGAGTAGCGCAATTGCCCCCCTTTTTTTCATTATTATTCATGCCTTCAGATTGCGAGGAGTGCTGATTTCCAAATCTATATACGTATGGTAATAAGGACATTTGCATTAATAATTTGCGAGCAAGAATATCGTTTATGACGATAATAAAACGTACGCTCGCCTCATGTATACAGACTTGTTAAAAGTTTGCGAAAGCCGAGAACATGTAAAATTCGCAAAATTATGCGAATTTCCATACATCATTATTCATGATTCGTATAGTTCGTAGACGTCACGATCCAATAGTTTCTTTTTAATAATGCCAATGTACGTAAATACACCTACGTGTTATCAAGTGTATAAATAATAAATTTTTACCGACGCTGCTATTATTTCAGAAGCTTGATTTATTGCCATTTGCGTCATGGATCTGCACATTCGTGTACACGCGTTGTGTGCTTTAAAGCGCATCTCTCGTTCCATCACACTGCTACCATTTGACTCTTTGTTGTTGGTAATCCAACTTGTTCAATGACTTTTTTTGTTTATAATAATTTAAACAATTTATTTTTTATTTAGGTTTTAAATATATAAATTATACTCGATTTTTGCATCTATACGCGCGCGTAATATATAAATTGTGGATTCTATATTTGATATAACTACAAACATATAGCAAGCCAAACCACAACATCGTAATGTAAATATTGTGATACGATTAGCATCGTGTACATACCTAATTATATTTGCGTAAGTCAGTAGATGATAATTATTACGTGTGTGTTAGTTTTGTGAGATCGAAGGTCCTCAGACCGTATATACGTACGTATATACGTGCGAGGAGGTGAAAAATCAAGCCATTTATTTATGAAGACGAGGTTTTTAAGGGTCGAACCCCAATTCGAGGCACGATCACGAAGCACTTGTAAATATTTCATTGGTATTAATTCCATAATTCTGCGACAGACTGCGGGTGTCTTGCGTGTTTCATTCATGTTTCGATCGATTTCAGTGGAAAAGACCGTAAATCGAATACATTTACCTTGTGTTTTCTTAATGGCAACAAATATAGTCTAAAGCACACGCTTCTTCTGTTGCTCTTAATGAATTTATCGCATTAAGCTGATGTGCTTACATTAATTTTAGTTGCAAATATGCTAAAAAAAATATATATTATACATTTCATACACATTAAACATATAATGTGCTTTATAATAAACTTTTGCAATATTATATTACGTAATTTCGATGTTGCAAGAAACAACAACTTAATAAACAATGCGACGTGTCACGACACAAACAATCGAGATATCTTTCGACGATAAAAACGCATCCCACGAGCATAAATGTCCCGTCGGGCTTTAAAAAGTATAACGCAATGTGCGATTACGGTTATGCGCGAACGATTAAATTCATCTCTCACGAGAGAACACACAGAACCGCGTCGTGCTTCGCGATCTGTTATTACAACAAATAATGGAATTTCTCTTTCTGCCGCATCAGAGTGTCCCTGGAGACGCTGCTTTCATTATTAGATATAGGTATATCTTTCGTTTTGTTACGACATTATTCATAGCATGTGTTGCGCTCAATGCAATTAGTTATTAACATCTATCGATTGGAGAAACTTATAGAAAATTGTATTTCTGTGCAGCAAATCGCGCGTTGTAATATCGATG